AAAATATTTGCTATGCATTGCTGGAGGATTTGGAGACTCCAAAATATATCTTCGACTTTAGCCGCTTGGTCTTTGCGTGGCGAAGAGCACATCAACTCTGTCACGGTACAGTCAGCAACAATGCATTGTTCTTTTGCCACCGTGCTGCCTTGCTGGGGCAGACCTTGTGTGATACCGTCCAATCAATAGGCCTTTGTCCTTCCTAACGGACCTAGGTGAAGATATGGGTCCTTGAAATGCTCCTTCCTTCACCGACACCCTACCGAAAAACCGGATGGCTTTGCCGGCTTAGTGGTAGAGTCTATATGTTTGGGAGTTGCGTTTTTTCGAGTTGACAGGGAGACTCTGTGAAACTCCCCCAAGGCTATTTCGAAGATGTTCTCTTCCCGAGCTGGGTGGATTTCTTCCGCGTCAAAGATGGCTTTGCCTTCAATGCGTTCGGAAGCTGCAAGTCTGAGAATCGGACCATCCTATGCCCGGCCTCAATGTATGGCTCCACTGATATGGTTTATGCTTATTTCGCTGTTGGGTTGCTGGATGAGCTGCGCAAGAACCAGGTAAAGAAGCTTGGACACAATCATGAGTGCAGGCCATGGGCTTCTATACTCAATCCAGTTTCCCAATCAGGTACCTCCAAAGACACCTTTCAGAGCTTCCCTCACAATACGGAGCCCCTAGTAGCGTCCTTGCTCCTAGTAGCGATGCCCTTTGCTCCTAGTACCGTTAAATTGGTACCGTCGAATAGTCTTGACAGCGTGGACATGTCAACTGAGTTTCACTGAGGGCATGGGCCAAGCAGATCCAGCAGTTTCAAAATCCTGCGACGGGGCGCTTCCAGTCAAGCCCTGGGACGCTTGGGCGATCGAATAGATGGGAAACTGGGGTTGTTTGCTGGTAAAAGCATGCACCTTAAGGAACCTAGTAGCGTTGTTCCTCCAACCTACTAGTGATGGTCTCCAACCTCGAAGCGAAGTGCTGGAGTTGTGTTCTGGTTGTAAGAAATTGTTTTTGCGTAGTGTAGTTGGGCTGACACATGGAAACAAGAAGCGAACGACGACAAAGTGGCTTATGTCGAGGATCTCACAACCAATCGATGTGCCTCACCTTGGGATCTTGCAAACATCTAACATCTTGGCGGGCCAGATGATCCGATGAGCGGAAAAAAAGGGGAGTCAAGCATACGCCAACCACCGTCGCCCAACCGTTGACGGATCCTTCCGGACCCCGTCGGCGCCACGAGGCCTGCCGAAGCACAGCCGTGGCACGCCTTGGCGCAAGCGACGGAGGCGCTCCACGTGTTGGGTGAGGAGCCCTTGTGGCCGATGGAGGACCTGAAGACGCTGAGCGCCAACGCATCGGCGGCTTGGTCATTGTTTTGACACCCATTGGAGTGGTCCAGGAGTCCAGGGGCTGCCGGTGAGACATGAGATGAAAAACTTGAAACGGGAGCAAGGAATGATGGTGCAGTGAGCTGAAAACAGATGTGCACTGCAAGACAGTGTGTGTTGCACACTCTTGGGCAAAGTGCATACCGTGGGGTCAAGGAATGGGGCAAAAGAAGTGCACTACTGAGACTAAATGCTTACACGGAAGATGCTACAGCTAAACAACGTGGAGTAACATCACATTCATCCAGCAGCCTACTCCTGTTGCACCCAAAACAACAACTCTCAGACTCTCAGGCCATGAAGGACTTCGTGCGCTTGAACCTCCTGGCATCTTCTGACGTCCGGCGCTCCTCGGCCTCGCTGCAGGCGCCGCCGGGCATCGTGCAGATGGCGCACCTGCTGCGCTGGGCAACGCCGATGCGCAGGGTATTTGCCGAGCCGTACCAGGCTTTGGTGGAGCAGTGGTTCCAGGAGACCGGAGCAAACCAACAAGCACCGTTTTTTTGGAGGTGATGTGGGAAGAAAGTACTTTGATCATCAAACTGACGAGCTTTTCTTGCCTGGATTAAAAGTGTTCAAAAAGCTTCTGGTGGGCTGTCGTTTTTTTGGCAGCCCGCAGCTGAACCCGACCGTGGAAGGAATTGGACAAGCTCGTGGATCCGGCATCGGGCCTGTGGCGTCTTGCTTGGAAAACCAAACTAACATTTTTTGAGTCTGTGGAGGCCGGTGATTGTCGTGGCAAGAAGCCGGTGTTCCTTTACCGGGTTGGTCATGTGTTCTTCAATCTTGTTGCTTGGCATTGCTTGGCAATAAAGCTTGTTGAAGATGTGAGGTTTGCTTGGTCTGATGACCCTCGGAATGCTTCGAGCAGAAGCTTGGCAATGAATTGGTAAAAATTGGCAATGATATCAAAGAGCCTCAAGTGACACCAAGCTGGGTTAGCCCCTCTACATTGCAACTTGTCACAACATGCTTGCTCAACCAATCTTTCACCAACACTCAGGAAACAGTTAAATTCCTGCATTCTGTTACGATTGGCCATGGCTCGCATCACAAGCATCAGATTGATAATTCTTCAGTCGTGCGCCAGGAAGCTATGAACAGCTGCCTTCCATCGATGCTTTGTATTCATCCTTTCACATACTCCATGTCTACGAGTGCTTTAACCGCCCCTGGCAGCATCCCAAGAGGCTGGTAGATGCGGCCCTGCAGTTGCAGCGTGAGGACCAACCTTTGCTGACTGGGTCTGTGGAAAATCCATCCCCAAAATCGTGAAGCTAAGGAGATCATCAAAACCCATTGCGTTGTTGCTTGTCATCAACAACTCATGAAGTTGAGAGGGAACTTATGATTTTTTGGTGAAGGGTTTCCGAGCCACGCTGTCGAGTCTATCCTACCCCTCGCCAAATTCAGAACATGGATCGCCAATGACATTCAACCAGCAGGGCATAGTGGTCATAGCCTCTGAGCCACTACAGGCGGACTTTACCCATTTACATCCATTTACCAACACAGGTTCCTGCCATCGAGTCCACTCAGGCACTCCAAAATCAAGCCGCCCCCCAAAGCAAGAGGGCCATGCTGAAGGTGAATCATTCTGGGCAGCACTGAACCAAGGAAGCCAAGTCTACATTCAGCCAGCCCCTCTTTGATCTGACTCCAAACATAAACAGTATGGGCGCGGAGGCTTTGACAAAATGGCTCGTCCGTGCTTCCTTCCCTTTGCAGGACGGTTTGTGGTCCTCCATGCCCTCCAGCAGCACCGACCTCGGCGGCGTTTACATCGCCATCCACGGCTCCCGTCAGAGCGGCGGTTACCGCTGGGCGGACGTGCGGGAGATGTGCCGGAAGTACCTGCAGAGGGCCTCCAGTGGCTTGGTGGAGAGACGAGAATTGAGGACGGAGGCCATCGCTAGTAGGATGGAGTTGAGAATGGAGGCCGTGTGATTGCCGACTTTCATCAGAAATCACACTGACTGTAGCAAGGGGTGCTGCACTGTAAACTGGCTGAGGTACACAAGGGTGGTTTGTAGTAGTTTGCGTGGATCCCCATGCCTACTCGACCCTACTTGCCTAGTACGAACCCGCGCAGGCTGTATGGGTTTAGTTCTGGATGAACTCGGAACGAGCGAGGCTTTTTGAACGATGAGACATGGATCTTTGGCAGCTATGCCAAGGAGGGATTACGGGGTGAGAACATGTCAAAAAAAAAAACAGCTGCTATCCTTTGGCTTTATGCGGTTGTTTGCATTCCTTTTTTGTGGATAGTCAAGATTCCTGAGCTGCGCATCTGTCGGTTAATGTCAGTGCCGTTCCAAGTCATGTGAACATCACTCACGCTGAGAACTGCTTTGGCCAGTGCTTTGGCCCACAAACGTAAACACAAGACCTTTCAGATGTGCTTCAGCCTAATGTGTTTGGCGTGTTATTTTTTCTTGGGCACAACTTGTTTTTTGTAAAGACCAAGCACCAGCAGACCGAAAGAACAAATGAATCAAAAAGAATCAAGAAGGGAGCAGGAGACTCATGACTCAACAACTTAAACAAAGACCCAAACATCGACAATCCAAACCAAAGTCCCACCAAGCTGCACCAGATTGCCTTTCTGTGTGCCTGGCAGGAGCAAGGCACTCACTTGCTCTCTGGACCGCTCTTCGCCGTGGCCGAGTGTCAGATCCACTTCCCGGAGCTCCACGTGAAGACGCGGCGGCCCTGGCGGAGGAAGCGCGGTGCCTGCATTTACGCCTGACGAGAGGCACGAGGGCCCAGGGGCACGAGTGGATGCTACTGGGGTAGCAGGAACCATGCGGAGAGAGGTGGTTGTGTGTCAGTGGCTGTTGCAGGCTGTTGCTGGCTTGAAGAGGTGAGGAATCTGTTGGTTTCAGGTGCCTAGAGGGCCTACAACATCCTGCAACTCATGAAGAAGATGAGACAGATGATAGGGGCTGGTGATGATAAGGTTTCACAAAGATCTTTTTGCCATAAGCTTGCTATGGTATCGGCCTTCACTGATTCAGGATCCTTAATCCCTCAAGCAAGCCAGAGTGATTCTGTCCAGGCCGAGAGCCATCATGCCACTGGACAATATGTACAATATGTCTCACCGTTCGCCACGGACCTGAGTGAGCTGGGCCTTTCAATGTCCAGCCGTTACGCGACAGACAAATGGCATTGGTCTTGATTCATGGGAGCCTCATGGAGAGTCAATCCCATGCTTGGGCTTCTGGTTGGTCAACTGCTGTGTGCAAAAAGCAAGTGGGGCGCGCTGTGTGGCAAGAGCTTCATAGAATCAATATCGAGCATCAGGGTGAGCTACAACGGGTAGGTGGTTTTGGCAGTGGCTTCCAGTGTTTGCAAGTTTCGTCACGTGATTGTGGAAATCCTTCCTCAGCCAACAGTCAGCAAGCTCAGAAAGCTGCTGATAAGCCGAGAGTCGAAAAATACGAAGTTATTTCTCTTGAAAACAGAACGAGACCCAAGATCAAGAACAAATCAAATGAGCTACAAACAACCACGAAATACCGAAGTTTTATTCGTCAAATGAGCTAAGAAACAGCTTCAAAGATCCTCGATAGTCACACTGACCGACCCGTCGACGGCCCGTCAACGCAGGACTGCAACTTGCCCAAACAGCCAGTCTCGAGCCAAGCCGGCCAAGCGAGTCTACAGAGATAGAAAGAGACCGAATCACCAAGGCTTCTGCAAAAAAGGCAACAGACTGCTGACATACTGCTGACTTTCTGACTTTCTTTCACCCAGTGGGGGGGTTTGGGACGGTTTTGCTCTGGCAGGTCGCTGCCACGGCTGCTGGGTGCACAAAGGGAGCCTCCACGAGAGCCTGCCAAGCCGGAGGCACCAGAGGCATCGGAGGTAGTAGAGGCCAGCGGGGGTCGGGGTGAGCCAGGGGGGCGGTGTGCTCCCGGTGTGCGGCTTGGGCGATTGGGATTGGTTTGGTTCGGTTTTCCAGGCATCTTGACATGGTGGAATCAACTCATCTCATGATGCAGTGGTCTTTAGGTTTCTTGATTTGTGTGGCTTGGTGTGCTTCAAAGTCTGTAGGACTTGAAACACTCAAGAAATGCGTTGCGGCATGTATTTCCCAAACATGTTACCCACTAGCTCGAACAAACATTGTGCAGTGTGACACAGTTGACCCTTGGCTTTATGTTCTTCAATGATGCGGCTGCTCAGACCGCTGCAACATTCACATGAGCTTTGTTTCGTGTCCAGCCGTTGATCCACACCTTTCTTGCAAGGCCTCCACGAGCCGTGAGTTGCGGCGAGAACTGCTGGAGGCTGCAGCTGTTGTGGACCTTTTGGTCACGCGGCCGAGTCTTCTGACATGATGTTTGCTCGGACGAGCAATACAGGTTCGCTACTAGGAACAAGTGCATCGCTAGTAGTAACAAGTGCCTTACTAGTAGTAACATGTAGTAACAAGAAGCTATTAGAAACAAGAATTAGTAATTAAGTGCTCTTGTTGAAACAGACATGCACTCATGCACGCGGCCAGCAAGCATAGCACTGGGTTGCTAGGGCTTCAAAAGCCCGAAGCAGCCGAAGCATGAGTGAATCAAGAAAATCCATGCAAAAATCCTCCAGGTGCTTTCAAATCCCAATATCCGCAGCATTGCGACCAAGTGCCAACCAGCAATTGACTTGCATCATGCTGTTTGCGGGGCATGAAGAGTGGAGATGTGGGGGCAATGTAAGAGAAGACCCCTTCACTTTGCTCTTTAAGCTAAGCCGTCCCTTAGGGCAATGTGCAAAGTCCTTTTGATCAATAAGCCTTGAACGGGTGAATTTAAGTCCCTCTCCATTGCAGGTACTACCAAGCTCAGCTTCCAAAGAAGAGCCGCCTGGGTTTTCGCGACCTGCGGCAGGTGCTCAAGGCGCTTGGTACCAAGGGTCCATCCGACATGTCCATGTGAGCATGAACATGCCCGATGTTTTTAAAGAAATCGCCAGAAGCAAGGCGCTGGAGCCTCCACTGAAAGCGATGTTCCTTTGACTTCTTGGGAAAGCAACTGCTGGCCTCCTTTTTGTGCCCCAAAAGCTGTTGCCTGCCAAATTGCAGCTCACAACATGTCCATGCCGAAACAACAAGCACCGCCCTTCTTCAACCAGATCCCTAATAGTGCAATGCAGAGATTTTGGGGTGGTAAATGGCTGGACATGGCCCAAGCCTCACTCCTTCACCTTGTCCAGCCATAACGGATGATAGTGGCATGCTTTTGAAGTCCACGAACAGGCGCTGAATGAACACTTGGGGCTTCCGCTGCCCACGGCAGCGGCTGTTTGGAGACCTATGCAATTCTCGAGGGGTCTCGAGGGAGTTTTGAACTCGGTTCATTCCGTACATCTTTTTGAGTCTGTGGGACATGAGCTGTCACAGGCTATGAGCGTTAAGAGTGTTTATCTTGGACTTGTTCTACTGTGGGCAAAAGACTGAATCAAGTCACCAGAAGGGAGTCCCGCACACGTGGCTCTCACCACCCAATCATTCCTATCCAGCCATTCACCTTTTGAAGCTAAGACCCCGAAAACCTTTGATTTGTTCAATCATGAACAGGGTTTGACCTCAGATGACTTAATCCATTTTTCGAGTTGCGGCTGGCAGCCCAAGGCAGAACAGCTGTTCAAGCGCCTTGCACCCAGCGAAAGAAGACGGATCCGTGCAGATCAAATTCAAATCCAAATGGAAAGAATCCAAATGGATAGCTTCTTGAACTTCTTGATGTTTCTTGCTTCTTTCTGAGAAAGTGTGACACATGGCTACAGTTCGACCAAAATGATTTCACCGCACTCCGCTTTGCCCAATATCATTAGATGTCGCAAGTGATAGTTATCAGCTGGAAAGGCAGAAAAGACGATCTCTGACAAACAACAGATCGCATCAACAATCCCCACCACACTACACACTACGGACTTACATAATTACGGTGAACCATTCGCAGAGAAAACCTCCAGCAACTTGGATCACCGGTTGACACGTCAATCCGCCCCCGACTTCGCTTAGCATGGCAGACCTCCTTCGACCCGACTTGTCGCCCTTCGGCGTGGTGGGCGCCGACGCGACGGCTCCCCGATGGTTGGCAGCGGCCTTGTGCGGCTTTCCGGCGGATTGGCATTGCTCAGCGGAAGAAGTGAAGGAGGTGACGTGCTGTGTGAACCCTGTGAAGAATGAGTTCTCCATCGTGGAGGACTTAGACATGGTCAAGGGAGAGGTGAAGAGATGGCTAATACCTTTTGAGAAGTTCCATGTGGTACCTCGCTTTCATGAAGAGTCTCGGTCTCATGAGTTGATCCTTGGGCAGACATCATTGGTGATCAACTTCGACCCATGGAAGGTGTCGCGTGAAGATGACACAGCAGAGCCTCCCCTGAGTTGTACAAAGCCTTTTGATATTTTGGTTTTACAATCCCCAGTCTTGTCTTTTTGAGAGCTTGGTCCATTTGTTGAAGGGGTGAATTGTTCAACCCTCCATTTTAACAACATATCGACATGGGTGCATATGGGCTTCGGTTTATGCAAAGAAGAGAAGGGGAGAAGTCCAGGTGGACTATGTAGTGACTAGATTCACTGTAACTTGAACCGCAAGAACTCCAAGCACAGCAAGCCCAGGAGCTGTCCGAGGAGATGGAGAGGTGTGCCCAACAAGATGAGGAAGAGCTTGCGAAGTTCCTGTTTGACGTCCAATCAGTGTGGCAGGCATCCCTTGTTGAGGGCATGCTGTCTCCACAGATGTGGGAAGTGGCGCTGGCATTGGTTCAGGCTAAAAGGCTTCTGGAGAAGGGCCGTCTCTCACCTGATGCCTTCCGTGGTGGCATCGAGCAGCTTTCCAGCGATTTTGCCACCAAGCTCGGTCGCTTGCTATGCTGCATTTTTGATATGGAAATGCTTTCTCTACCAACAACAGCATCACCAGGGAGGGCTGCTGAAGCAGCAGCAGCCTGTCGCGATTTCCAAAGGCAGAACGAGCCTTTTTCAGAAGGAGAGGCAGCAGCAGTACACCTAATAGCAGCAGCAGCAGCAGTACACCCAATTTCAATAGCAGCAGCAGCAGCAGCAGCAGCAGCACCAACAGCAGCAGCAGCAGCAGGAGCAGCAGCACCAACAGCAGCAGCAGCAGCAGCAGCAGCAGCAGCACCAACAGCACCAACAGCAGCAGCAGCAGCAGCAGCAGGAGCAGCAGCACCAACAGCAGCAACAGCTGCAACAGCAATGGCAACAGCAGTAGGAACAGCATTAATGGCAACAATAGCAGCAGCAGCAATGGCATCTGAGATCATGTTTGGTGGGTGTAGGGAAAGAGAACCAGCTGCCGCACATGAAAGCGAACAAGCACTCGAACAAGCAACTCAGGAGTTGAAAAGTCTCCGGGCGGCTTTTTCACAATACACCGGCACTTCTCTTGCTGCTTTGCTCAACAACCACGGCTTTCGGCATCCTCTACTAGACCCCGTCGAGGGCCAGTTGTTGCTGAAGTACCAGTTGCTGTGGTTTTTGGGTTTGATGCTGGTCGAGATCTCGCTCAAGTTCTCACTCTCAAGGCTCGAAGAGTTGGGGTGCGATTTGTGCAGGGTGGCCAGAGGCTTCTCCACAGATCCAGCGTCGCTCACATGCTTGCAGGGAAAATTGGCTGATGCATTGGACTCATCAGACCCTTGGCGGTTGAAGGAATTTCCACATCTCTGTGTCTTGGCGAAGCATGCTGCAAATTTTTTGCAAGCTCTGTGCTCAGCTCATGATGAACAAAAAGAACGAGTTGAACGTTCCTTATGCAGGATCCGCTCAGCTGTTGAAACGATGGGCAGTTTCTTGGAGGTGGCTGTGGAAACGCTGCAAGAGTTGGAGCGGGACTTCGTTTGCACACATGGCCGAAAATGCATTCAAAAGCTCAGACAGGATAAAAGCCTGCTGGGGATTCACATCGAGAAGTTGGATGAAGACACCTGTCTTGTTAAGATGAAGTATGAGGGGGATATGCTGTCAATGAGTCGAGCCGAGGTCGACAAGATAGGCCAAACGGCCAGGAATCGCCTAATGCTGGCTATAAAAGACTTAGTCGGTCTCAGTGACGATAGTGATGATTTGTTTGATGCTAAAAATGCAGGCAAGTGGAAGTTGCGTGCAGTGGCGCAGTCGCCCCCGAGTGATGATCGGAGTTCCAAGGACATGAAGCCCATTGGCAAGCCTGATGCTCAAACCGCAAGCAAGTTCCAGTTGCTTGCAGTGCCACAACCGCCCCTGGATGTGCGAGTCATTTGCTACAGCCCAGGATCTGTGGAGGTGGTCTTGATTGTTGGAGGTTTCGCTGTGGGGGTGCTGGCTTGCGCTGCCTGGCATTGGTGGTACCCATCCAGCAAACATCAAGAGCCGACAGCAGAGATTCGGCAAAGCCTGCAGCATGTGCACAACACCATGCGCTCCCATGCCCGTGGAGACTCATCCAATTCGACGGCCACTCCATCATCCGGCTCGGGTAGCTCCACCCCAGATCTGGAAGGGCCCATAGTTGAGTCCACAAGGCCAAGTGGGCCAAGAGTCACAGAAGCTCCCAACCGCAGGTCCTCAGCTGAGTTTCTTTTGGCAACGCAGGTGCTGCAGGATGTCCACGCAATGTTCCCGAGCAGGGGCGAAATTGAACTCACCAATCTCTTGGTGGACCAACGATCGGCCTGCTGCCAAGATGTATGGAACACATGGCGAGTGCCAGAACAACATCGAAAGGCCATCGAACACTATGTGACACTTTTCTTTGCCGGCTTGGTCTTAGTTAAAGAGGAGCCTCGAGCAAGGGAGGTGGCCTCACAGAAGAAGATCTCCTTTACAAGGCACCGCATGATCGCCAGCACTTTTGGTCAGTTCAACCCCACTATGACCGACTCCAAGTGATGGAAAGATTGGGCAACGAATTGTACAGTCTAGGAAAAGACCTCTCCACCGAGCCACAGCACCTGGACCGCGTGCAGAGGGAGCTTGCTGACGCTTTGGACGGAGATCCTCGCATTTTTGAAATCCTAACCCGTCGTGCAGGAAACGAGTTTCCACACATGCTGCCCTTGGTGCGGCAAGCTCGAACGGCTTTGGACGCTCTGTGCTCAATTTTCAGTGTCAACCAAAGGCAAGAATCAGGGTGGAACAATTTGGTTTCTAGTTTGCAGAGGGGCGCAGCGCAAGAGATTGGCAGCACGATGGTGCGGATCCTGTTCAACCGGCTTCGGCTCATTTAGAGGGACCTGAATGATCCTGCATCCTGCCAACTGAGCCTTGCTAGGCCTAGGCGCCAAAGTTTTGCAATAACGAGATGTAACGAGCATGTATCGCCAGGGACGTTTCTTGATCACCAGTTAACAGTCCTTTCTGTTCAAAACCGCTTATGGCTCGCATTTCGAATCGCGATTCATGCACTTTCACCCCCTTGAAAACAAAAGTGAAGCGCAGTGAGCTGGAGGGGATAGCAATTAGAACATTCGGCCGGAAATCGCGGCATGGGCGGACTAGCTGCCAAGAAGCCGCCAAAAGCCCAGACGAGATCCAATGCTGCCTATCACAAAAGACATCGACATCCACAAATGAGTTCACCTTTTTTTTGTTTCTCTTGGGCTCTGTCTAAGATATGTCTATATGGTGGTAGTAGGCAGCATTCCACATAAGATGGGATCCTGAAACAGTGGTGAGTGTGTAAAAAGGTGTCCCGTTTTCCAACACAGCATATCTGTAATTCTTCTGCCTTGGAGAGAGTGTGAACATGAATGAAAATGGCTCTGCCAACTGTGCAAAAACTCTTGAGAGCGATCATTGGTCGTTCCTGCACTGTTCCCCCAACTTGCAGCTATAGCTCGTGTTTCAGCTCCCACCCAAGCCTCCTTGATCAGCGCGTGACATGGCAGCTCGAGCCTCTCCTGCCGCTGCTGGCTCCCCCAGCCTGCTGCAATTGGCCGCTGCCAGCGTGGCCGCGGGCGCCGCGGTGGCCGTCGTGGCCGCTTCGGGAGCGATGAACACTTTCGGATCGGGAAAGAGGATGGAGACCTTAGCGGCTTTCGTGTCAGTGATCCGAAATCCTGTTCTCATGGGAGGCGTGGGAGTTGTGGGATTGGTGGTTGCCTTCCAATCGCTCTCCTTCAACGAAGCCTTGAGGGCCTTCTCCTTCGCTGCTGTGCAGGGTGCTGGATCAGCGGTGGGGCACAGTCTCATGCGAGGGATTTGTTAGAAGAAGGTGGCAGAGTTTGGGAGGTGAGTCGGCATGCTGCGAGCTGGTTCGCACCACAACCCTCTTGCCGCCCTTGCTCTTTCACAACGGGCTTCGGTTTCGCTATCCGGACGGGGATAGCAATGCTTCTGCACATTGCCATTTGAGCGTGAGTGAGCATCCTACCCGCTTTGCAGATGTTTAGTGCTTAGCTGGAGCTTCACAGTCAGGCCTGGCCTTAACGTTTTTGCTTAAGTATCTAAACCCAGTTTGAACATTGTAAGTTGCATAGTGCATTGTCTACCGCGGGGTGGCGCACGGCCTGTGAAAGCAGTATGACATGCGTCAAGCTGAACTGCTCGCGAGGGAATTCATCACTGGCAGGGGAGTGGTTTCAACTGAAACTTTCAGTGTTACTTAAATGCGGCATCAGCACTGATGTGTGTTTGGTGAATAATGCTGTTTGCCCGGCCATGTGATGTGACATCATAGTTGCCATCGTTCCAGCACGCCATGACAACAGGCTTCGAAAATAATAGCATGGCACCAGCGAGTTGTTGGAGTCATGCCGAAGTGGTGCTGGCAATGAGAAGCCTTAGCTCACTTGCGCCCGAAGAATCCTTCAATCATCTTCAATCCAATGCAGAAACGTTAGATAATCTTTCTGCGACCCAAGGTGTGGGTACAAACTGTTTGCTTGCAGCCCCTTCAGCCAAGGCTACGACTTCAATGGTGATGGCGACTTGAGCTTTGAGGAGTTCTTCGAACTCTTTGTCTAAGAGCCCAGATACAGGGCGCCTCCATCGCCTTTTCCCAGAGACCCTCACAGACAATTAAGGATTCTCCTCCTTTGGGTTTTGCCACAGGAATAGATCTCGCACAGTCTGAGGTCTCTGGCAAATAACTGCATGCTCATAGCAAGAAACCTTCACATTTGAGTGGCTCTACCAGTTGCGATTATGTTGGTTTGACCTTGTACCTACAATGTTTGAGTTTGGTAAGGTCTTGAGGGTTTCGTGAAAGCCCTTAAAGCACTGAGATATCGTTAGTCTTGGAAAGGCAACCTTTAGAACCGTTTTGCGACCCCTATTGAAAAAAGAACCTAGAGCAAAACAGGTGATACATTATACACGAATTTGCACGAATTTACAAGAAACTTCAGGCAAACAACCGTGAGTCATTCACAATGTAGGACCAACCAGCGTGGAGTTTAAGGGGCGTTCCTTCGATTGAGGTGACTTCCTTGCGACGGGCCGCCTTTGATCGGTCCGGCTCTGAGAGACGATCCAAGTGAGGTCTAAGTGAGGTCCATATGCATCGACGTGAACAGGAAGGGTGCCTGGTTTGCTTTGCAATAGGTTCAATGACCTTTGTTGCTAGCATCAATTTGTAGCAATATCTGAATTCCAACTGAGGTCGGTGCTCTTGGGGCGAGAGATCTTTGTAACCCAGGAGCCTGGCAAGGCCTGGCTGAGTCCGCTCGTTGTTCAGAGAGCCACTCTCGGCCTTCAGCCAGTCATCCAGGAGAGTCATCACCTATGACAGACTTCCATCATACGGGAAAGGTCGATACGGACGCATGGTCACTCCCGACCACCTTCTCATACCTCCTTTAGTTGACCAAGGCGAACATGGTCGATGAGGGACATCCTCTGAAGGAAGTGTATGACCAATGAGGAGTTTGTGCAAGCCAGAGGTGGCCCGAGATATCATGAGAACACATTCGCAATCCTCCAACACAGTGGCCCGTGGCCACTACCTGTTTTCATGTGTTTTGCACACTGCACTCATGTCGAAGGTTTGGGAGATCTACCATCGTGTTTGGAACCCGAGCGCTCCAGAACCGTTGATGATCGATGCAATGATGCGATGATGCGATGCTGTTTGGAACCTCCGGATTCAACCCAAAGGGCTGGAAGCAACCGGAGAGGGAGCAACTGAAGTATCTCAAATACTGAATATTATTTGATTATGTCATTATGTCTATTGTTGTTCTTTTTTGTGCGTGTGTGTTACATCATGTTGACCCAATGGCCTCAGTGGGCATCAAAGTGATGAACTGGTGTCATCGCCTTCTTGAGGTCAAGACGTTGGGCGAAGGCTCCTTTGGACAAAGCCTCAGGGAGGCATCGCCGGCGCTCCACAGAAGAGAACGGCTCGGAAAGACTTCGGCTGTGCATGAGAACCCTGTTACTACTAGTAAGGCACCTGTTACTAGAAGCGATGCACTTGTTTCTA